CGAAACCAAAATTTGTATTTTTTGATCAAGATTAGTGCAAAAAAAAGTACTTAATATGAAATTTACACATTAACACACTTACCTCTCGATGTCTTTACTTCTTGTAATTGCTTTTCATCAGCCTTCTTTAGATCATTTGATATTTTCAAAATCTTCTCTTCTGTTCCTGAAGATAGAAGCATTCCTCTTCATGAATTTTTTTTGGCCAGATGATGATAAATATTTTTTTTGATTAAGCAAATCAATTTTCTGCACGTCATCAGGCAAGAAAATTAATCATGCTAAGTTAAAAGAATGATTAAAATTCTTGTCTTGATGATGTGCAGAGAATTGAGGTGTTTTTTTTTACTTATCTGATGGCCACATTTGTTTTTATGTCATTTTTTCATTTTTCTAAATGAATCTTTTGTGGTTCAAGTAATATTAGTATAAAGTTTTGGACTTCTTTTGCAAACCTGATTTTGAATTAACAGAATCAGTACTAGTTCCAGCTTCAATTTTTCCTGCAAAAGTTTATTATTAAGATCAGATACATAATTTTTCTCTCGTCCTATTGTTTAATTTGATAAATAGATAATATTATAAAATTTAGCATAATATACCTGCTAATTGCTTCATTATCTTCAGACCCTGTGATTTTTTGCCTGAATCTATTTCAATACAAAAAAAAGTAATTTTATAGAAGATTAGTGCAAAAAAAAAACAGAACTAAACATGAATAATACACAGTAACGCATTTACCACTTGATGTTTTCCCTGCTTCGAATTGCTTTTCATCTGCCATCTTTAGGACATTTGATATTTTCAATTTCTTCTCTTTTGTTCATGAAAATAGAAGCATTACCCTTAATGAATTTTTTTTTGGCCAGATGATGATAAATATTTTTTTGATTAAGCAAATCAATTTTCTGCACATCATTAGGCAAGAAAATTAATCATGCTAAGTTAAAATAATGATTAAAATTCTTGTCCAGATGATGTGCAGAGAATTGGGGTGTTTTTTTACTTATCTGATGGCCACTTTTGTATTTATGTCTTTTTTTTAATGATTTTGATTCTCCTGATCTATATGATCTACAATGTCAGTTACATGATTTCAATATTGAAATTACAGTTTTTTTTCTATGTAATTATGGTACAAATTCACTGTAATTTTTATATTTCAAAGTTTTTGTTTGTCTAAGCTTTGGTTTGTAATGGAATTGTTTGAATCTGGATTGATATGTTTTTGAACATTGAAGTACATCAGCTCATTAACAACATGAATACAAAATGTTGCCAGATTGACAACAATTTCTGGTGGACTGAATTTTTTGATGTATTTACTTGTTCTGTTTCTTAGTACAAAAGGACATGAACTACATTGAATTTCACTTGTTTTAATTTCAGAATGAAATAGTAGGCAATGAATTTTTTAAACAATGAAAGTTTGACATGAAATGCTTTAGTGTTCTGTAATGAAATTTTGACATGACATGCTTTAGTGTTCTGTTCACACTGAATAGTTTTAATTACAAACTGAATAGTTCACACTGAATTTTTTATAATCATGTTTATTGCTGGTGAATTTTAATTTTCTGAAAGTTTGAGATGACTTGCTTTCATGACAGTGGAGAGAATTACTTGTGACAGTGATTTGAGTTTCCTTATTCATGTAAAATTTTTGAATGAGATGTGTTTATGAGTTGCATGAATTTGCTGATGTTCTACCCAAGAGATTATGTTTATCCTCCTAAAATTGTAATGATTCTGTTTATCCTCCTAAAATTTTCTCTTCTGTTCTGATACTGTGATGTTCATTTAACAGGAATTCAGAAGTTTCGAGAGAGGCACTGTCTACAATGTGTGAACGTGTGTATATTCAGAAGTCAATATGTGTGAATATTTGAATGTCTCAAGGAAAACTCTCCAAAATTTCACATTCTTCAAAAGATCAGAGTTAAAGTTTATCTAGAATGGTCAGAAGAACAAAATGCAAGATCAAGATTCAAATCCAGATTCAAAACAACAAGATATTTCAAAGGAGGAATCAAAAGGTAAGTTTCAAAGGAGGAATCAAAAGGTGCACTTACCTGTTGATTTTTCCTTCTCTTCACCTTTTCCCTTCTCCAAATCGCTCAAACTTGTGATTCCTTTCTGTGCGTACTGTAAATTTGCTTCTCTATCGTCAATTTTCTCGTTAATCTCCATCTTTTTTCTTCTGACTTCATATCTGTCTCTGTTTGATTCCCCCTATGTTGAATTTGCTTTTTGCTTTTTATCTCCAGATCACGTGACACTTTCTTCTTGGATGCCAAGTTTTCTAATTAAGTCACCTGGCATGTGTCACGTGTATTGTGCTCATCTATTTGGGCTTTTTTTTTTGTTGATTTATTACATTGGGCTTGAATTTTAGACTTTTTTGTTTGGGCCTCCATTTAATTTGGATCGAGTCAGACGGGCCAATATCTAGCCCGATCTGTGTTTTTTTTATTTTTTTTTCCTTCTATTTTGATCAAAAAATGTTGTTCGTTGGATCTGGATCAGATGGTCAAAAAATTCGACAGATGGGAGACATCAAAATATGTTGCATGATCTGTAGACACTCCCTTATTATATTTTTTGAAGAATTTCTCTCTAACTGAGCTGAAATTGTCCTTCACCAAATTACTAGTTTTTAAGATATCTTTTAGCTGTGACAACTTTTTATGATGTTTACCAGTAAATTACATAAATTTTGATCGAGTGTCCTATAGTAAAATTTACCAAAAAAATCCACCCTAAACTGCATTAATTTGAAAAAGAGGGTGTTCATATTGTCTTTTTATTTTTTTAAAAAAAAACAATGCATCGGCTGGATTTGGTTTGTGATACTAAACAAGCCAGCACGAATTATGTTAGTTTTGTGTTGTGTGGTATCCGACAGTGCTCTATTGGAAGTACGGCAAACGAATTTCCACGGGACACCGAAACTAATCCGATTGTGTCATTGTGTGGTACTAGGAGCATTTAATTAGCTGCGGCGCGGCCGTAACAAATTAAATGACTTGTTTAGCTCCTGTAATCAGATTAGATTACGTGTCCTAATGTAAAGAGGCCAAACCAAACAGATATTTTTTTAGATCTATCATTTATTTGTGTGGATTATATTCACTCAGCGGCTTTCTGTACTTCAGAAAAGGAGGTACATTTAGTTTACGATGTCTGGACTCCGATTACTTGTATTCTTTTGAAGTCCTTTGAATATTTGTGTTACACACATGAAAATAATGATATGACCATATTGGTCTAAATGTATAATACATTATGAAATTGTAATGCATTATATATACTACAAGAATATGGTCTCTATCTTATTTGCTCCCTATGGCCTAAATTTAAAATAAGGCGAATCTACTAAAAAAAAATTGTGTCACTTAACTTGCACCTGAAATACTCAAATATTTGTGGTAATAAAATGAGTAACTCCCTTATTAAAATAGTACTATCTTCGTTTTTAAATATACGCCTCTGTTAATGTTTGGTCGTCATTTGATCATTCATCCTATTAAAAATTAATTAAATACTCCCTCCGTCTCAAATATAAGGGATTTTGGACGGATGAGACATTTACTGTACAAGGAAGTGTCCCATCCATATAAAATTTCTTATATTTTGAGACGGAGATAGTATTATTTATTTTATTGTGGTTTGTTTTATCTTGAAAATAAGCATGGCTTATTTTTATACTTAAATTAAGTTTTCAAATAAACATAAACATATACTTAAAAAATGTCGAAAAGTAAATAACATTATACATTTAAAGTTGTAGGAAGGGGGTAACAATTTCGAACATAGGTGGCACCATGCATTCCACCACTAACCAATGCAGTGAACACACGGTAGGCCTACTAGCACAGCGCCACAGCCACAGAATTTTTCGTTTTAAAAAAGGAACCCAGCCCCGCTGCCTGACTTCTAGGCCCCAGGGCCGTCCCATGAATTTTGGAGCCCTGTGCGAAAATCTTAACCAAATACTAAACGTAAGCTATAAAATAAATTAATAAAAACTTAGGCTGCAAGCAGCATAAAGAGAGAACAACTCTTTCGTTTTACGCGCACATGTTCCCCGTTGCTATAGATGGTGCGTTTTTTGAAAATAAAATATTGAAATGTTACTTTAAAAATAATATTAATTCATTTTCAAGTTTAAAATTATTAATACTCAATTAATCATGCGCTCATGTATCTTCTCAATTTCTCTTTTCCTATGTACGAATATTATATGCCTATTTTTCAATCCAACAGTATATAAGCCGCCTTCCCCGCACCAAGTGCATCCACCCCAGATCTCATTGCTTCGCTCCACGACGAGCTATGCAAAGGCAGCGGCAATTGTGATTAAGGGGGTAAATCGTCTGGTTTAGAGAATTCAGGGGTATAGAATGTGTGATATTAAAATTTAAGAGGGGAGTGGGGTGGTAATTTAAACTTTTTCTAAAAATAAGCATAGCTTATTTTTTTTATACTTAGATTAAAATTTTAAATAAAACATATTATAAAAATAATGCAGAAGAGTAAACAGCATTACACATTTAAAATCGTACGAAGGAAGTAAACATTTTGTAAGATACGTGACACCATCCCCGCAAAAAAAAAACGTGGCACCATGCATTACCACCCACACTGAACTATGCATATGCAGTGAACACACGGCCGGCCGGCACACCGGTACAGGCCAGTAGACCTAGGGTGTGTTTAGTTCACGTTAAAATTAAAAGTTTAATTGAAATTGAAATGATGTGACGGAAAAGTTAAAAGTTTATGTATGTAAAAATGTTTTGATGTGATGAAAAAGTTAAAAGTTCGAAGAAAAAGTTATAAATAACAAGTCCTTGGCCTAGTAGTACAACGCAGCACACAGCCACAGAAAAATTTTAAAAAAGAAAAACAGCTCCGCAGCCTGACATGTAGGGCCCACCCCTCCAACGCGACTCCCTTATAAGCCGCCACCCCCACACCAAATGCATCCAACCCCGTTCACTTCGATTCGCTCCACGCGCGCGACGATCGACGAGCTCTGCTCTGCAAAGGCGGCGGCAATGGCGGTGGCGGCGGAGGGTGAGGAGATGACACCGGAGCACGAGGAAGAGGTGATCATCGTGGGCGCCGGGCAGTCCGGGCTGGCCGCGGCGGCGTGCCTGTCGGTGCGCGGCGTGGCGAGCTGCCTCGTCCTGGAGCGCGACGACTGCGTGGCGTCGCTGTGGCGCCACCGCGCCTACGACCGCCTCCGCCTCCACCTCCCCAAGCGCCACTGCGCGCTGCCGCGCGCGCCGCACGCCGCCGCCGCGCCCGACTACCTCCCCCGCGACGACTTCGCCGCCTACCTCGACGCCTACGCCTCCCGCTTCGGCGTCCGCACCCGCCTCCGCCGCGAGGTCCGCTCGGCGCGCCACGACGCCGCCCGCGCCAGGTGGCTCGTCGAAGCCGTCGACCTCGCCACGGGGAAGGCGGAGCGGTACGCGGCGAGGCACCTCGTCGCCGCCGCGGGCGAGAACGACGAGAGGGTGGTGCCCGAGGTGCCCGGCATGGACACGTTCCCCGGCAAGGTCGTCCACTCCGCCGACTACCGCTCGGCCGGCGCGTTCAAGGGGAGGTCCGTGCTCGTCGTCGGCTGCGGCAACTCCGGCTTTGAGATCGCCTACGACCTCGCCGCCGGCGGCGCCGCCGCCGTCTCCATCGCCGTGCGCGGCGAGGTGCACCTGGTGAGCCGGGAGGTCTGGAGCGTGGGGATGGCGCTGCAGAGGTACCTGCCGACGTGGGCGGTGGACAAGGTTGTGCTGCTCATGTGCGCCGTCGTGTTCGGCGGCGACACCGCGCGGTACGGGCTCCGGCGGCCGGCCGTCGGGCCGTTCTCCATGAAGATGACCACGCCGGCGTACCCGGTGTTCGACGTCGGCACCTTCGCCAAGATCAGGTCCGGGGAGATCCGCGTCGTGCCGGCCGGCATCAAGAGCGTCCGCGGCGGCGACGTCGAGTTCGCCGACGGCCGGCGCCACGCCTTCGACGCCATCGTCTTCGCCACCGGTTACCGGAGCACCACCAAGCAGTGGCTCAAGGTAATTAATTAAGTAAATTAATTGAACACTGTGTGCATGAACTGGTTGTGTGCATCATGATTCGTGCCGCGACACAAAGTCATTTGGCGGGAAAGCTTTGCGAAGAATAAAAACTCCAACCGGTCTCAACTTTTGGGAGCACACCCAGTACACTTCATGTTCAGGGTACTGTGTGTTCCGAGAATATACCGGAAAATCGGAAATAGAGTGTGGTAAACAACCCCTTCTTAATTCTTGATGGGATATGTTCTCGTTTGTTCCAATGCCATCCAGATTGTTATAAAAAAATTTCAACAAAAATAAAAACCCATGCAACAAACATACTCCATCCGTCTCTAAATATAAGAGATTTTGGTCCAGATTCATGGTAGTAGGATACGTCCCATCCACCTAAAATCTCTTATGTTTTGGGACGGAGAAAGTATACTGTTCCACAAATTCTAAATTACTGCAAACTGGACATACGCATAAAAAGGTTTTCAAAAGAGACAAATATAGTGTATGAAAAATATTACTCCCTCCGTTTTTTAATAGATAACACCGTTGACTTTTTCTCACATATTTGACCATTCGTCTTATTCAAAAATTTTATGTAAATGTATAAGATATAAATCACACTTAAAGTACTATGAGTGATAAAATAACTCATAACAAAATAAATTATAATTACGTAATCTTTTTAAATAAGACGAATGGTCAAACATGTAAGAAAAAATCAACGGCGTCATCTATTAAAAAACGGAGGTAGTAGTATTATTCACATCCAATTTATATTTTTTTTCTCAGTGTATGATCGATTTTGAACTTGATTTCAGCGAAGTTCTATAAATAATACTTAGATGCTCTATATATTTTTACATGTCTTTTGTGAATGGATTGTAGAGCGATGACGGGCTGATCGGCGACGACGGGATGGCGGGGCGGAGCTACCCGGATCACTGGAAGGGGGAGAACGGGCTGTACTGCGCCGGGATGGTGAGGAGGGGAATCTACGGCAGCGGCGAGGACGCGGAGCTCATCGCCGACGACATCAGCAAGCAGATGAAGCGCTGGAGCAGCGAGCCCGTCTACAATGGCCACATCAGCAACGGATCCCCCTAAAGGCTAGATATAGGCCCTGTTCACTTTGACGTCAAAAAAAACCTTTTTTTTTTACGATTTCTCATATACTCCAGTTATTAAAATTTGGCAGCAAATTAAATGTAGTCACTTTTTTTATAACTTTACTAAAATTTGGTAAGGTTGAAAATGGCTTCAAAGTGAATAGGCCTATAGAGACACATAGATCGTTATTAGAGAGAGAGAGAGGGGGGGATTATATACGTAGATAATAAGCGAATGCAACAAGCTGATGTGTGGTGCTATCCTAGAATTTGAGATAAATATCTACGTATCATTTTATATTCTGAGCTTTATGGATATTAATGAATTAAACAAAATTAAATATGCATAGTTTGGCCTTAATGGTCTGTGATAATACTAATAATAATAGTTATGTTGTAAATAAATAATTAGCCACTTCGGTTGTTAAGAGAGGCTTACATCTGAACCTTTTAGACATACATTTCACTATTTATCTTATTAAAGGAAATATATAAATACTCCCTCCGTTTCTAAATATTTGACACCGTTGATTTTTTAGCACATGTTTGACCGTTCGTCTTATTAAAAACTTTTGTGAAATATGTAAAACTATATGAATACATATAAGTATATTTAATAATAAATCAAATGATAGGAAAAGAATTAATAATTACTTAAATTTTTTTAATAAGATGAACGGTCAGACATATTTTAAAAAGTCAACGGCGTCAAATATTTAAAAATGGAAGGAGTATAAAATAAATGTAAATCATGGTTAAAGTAATGTTAGACCACGTCACAATATAATGAATACTAATTATGTAACTTATATGAATAAGAAAAGTGGTTAATGTATGTTTAAAAGTCAAGGCCGTCATCCATTAAAAACCAGAGAAACTAAGTAGCATCTACAGTTCTCCACTCACTTGTTTGGGCCATTTAATTACATAAATCAAATTATGATCTAGCGAAAACTCTTCATTCGATTTAGGATATATCACCTCATTCGTCAAAATACCATAGAAACAGTTATAATTTTTCTTCAAGATATTTGATATAACATTTATACATAATAAATATTCTACTTCACTCAATTTCAAATCTTAATTCATCTCACATAGAGAGAAAAGAAAGATATATCACTACTAGAGAACTGATCTTTGCTGGGTTGGCCTAAAACCACATTAGTCACGGCTCCGATAGGAACCAGGATTAAAAATTATTTTTTGTCCCGGTTGAAAAGCCCAACGCACTTACCAACCGGGACTAAAATAATTTTTAGTCCCGGTTCCGATATCATCCGGCCCGTTATTCCTTCGCACTTATCCTCCTCGCGCGCAAACACTTCCTCCTCCCTTTCCTCCTTCTTATCCTTTTCTTTTTCTCTCTCATCTTCTATTATCATCTCCTTCCCTCCTTTTGCAGAGAGCGAGCGGCGGCGGCGGCGCCCTGCGTGGCGATGGTGACAGTGCGGCGGTGGAGGGAGGCGGTGGCCTGTGCACGGGAGCGGGTGGCCGCGGCCCGTGTGGCTGTGAGTGGCAGCAGCCCCGCGCGGTGACGGCAACGGCACGGCGGTGGAGGGAGGCGATTGATTTGTGATTTTAAGTGTTGGATTTGGTTGATTTATCTGTGAATTTGCTGATTTGTGATGTCTTTGGATCTGTAAATTTGTTATGTGAATTGTGACTGTAGATATAGATGATTTTTGGATGTGGATGATTTTGTGATGTTTATGTGAATGTTGATGATTTTATTGTGGAGTTTGGTTAGATATCAATATGCAAATAGTAAAAACAATGAAAAAAAAAGACTAGGATGGTAGCGCCTGCCACATGGCGCTACCCTCTTTAGTCCCAGTTATTTCAACCTCATTTTTAGTTCCGGTTTTGGGGTCCCGGTTACGTAGCCGGGATTAAAGGGGGTTACAAACCGGGAGTGAAAAAGGGTTTTCCAGCAGTGTATCCAACATATGAACAATAGTATTACTATTCACGCTCAAATTTACCTCTCTTTTTTTTCAACATTTGGACAAATTAAAATTTTGGATTTTGGTGTGACTATACTTTGAATTATTATATTTGTTAGACTTTTTCATGACCGTTTACATTGCATTAATACTTTTTAGAGAAAATAACAAGATAAAGGAAACTAGGGGATATCTGTCGGAGTGATTAGAATCCATATTGTTATATGGCTCTATTTGAGAGAGCTTCTAGTACCTGCAGCTCTCAGAATCTTCATTTTTTCCAAACATTTTAGATTCCCACACATATTCTGAGAATGTATAGTTATATAATTCAAAAAATAAACTAGAAGCAAGAATTGAAAAACCTAATTTCCAGATTCTCAACAAATACTCCCTCCGTTTCAGGTTATAAGACGTTTTGACTTTGGTGAAAGTCAAAATGCTTTAAGTTTGACCAAATTTATAGAAAAAAGTAGTAATATTTTTAACCCAAGATAAATTTATTATGAAAACATATTCAATTATTAATTTGATGACACTAATTTAGTATTATAAATATTAATATATTTGTATATAAACTTAGTCAAACTTAAAATAGTTTGACTTTTAAAACTTCTTATAACCTGATACGAGGGAGTAGATTTTAATCAGCCGCTTGTAATAATTTTAAGCTTGGCCGGTCTATATATTTGAGTACGTGTGTGCTTGTGTGTGGTAATGAATCTGCATATACGTACTCCGTCCTGCCTCTTCTTGCTCAGCTCATTCACCATCTCTGACTCTGAGTGAAATCTTGCCCACTAAATCCATACAACTTTTTTTTCACCATTTCCGATCCCGTATAGTTTGTGACGCTAATTAATTAATAAGCAAGTGCAATTTCGTTCGAGTGATCGTGTGGATAGTGATTATGTACGTATCCGATTTTGTGTGGCATTTGGATGCCCGAAACAAAATTATTGACTTTTGGTAGCAGGACTGATTAACCCGGAATCAAATTACGTCCGAAGAGACCAAATCAAAGAAAGACCATTTGTGTGGACCATATTCACTCAGCGGTACGATTTCGGTGCTAAAAAAACGTGAAAATAAAATTAGAGTCAGATGAATATTGAGAGCTGAAGCACGTTGTACATGAAAGGTAGACATACACATCTCACGATGTTTGTGGCTACAGTATACTATATCATGATGTTTGTGGCTACAGTATATACATGTTTTTAGAGTGAAATACACCGCTAGTATCACAACTTATAAGGTAGGTGTAATTTTAGTCACTTATCTTGGTATAAAATATTCAAACAAGTCACTCATCTTGTTTTAGGGGTGTAAACCACATAAAACATGTGTCGTGTGGGGCTGTTTACAATGAAGTTATATACTATGTTAATTTGTTTTACAAACATGGTCACACGATCTATAAATAAGCCAACGTGCAATAGTATCGGTAGTAAAACCAATTAAAGATAAATTTTGTTATTGATTGCCAAACACAATATAATCGTGTTCATTGAAAGCAGGAGTAGTAGCATATACATGGAAAATTTAAATGTAAATTTGTAAGTTTAATGCTTGCCCTGGTCACATGGGGAAAAAATGCATGATGTTAGGTCAATACAACCTCCAATTTACAAACAAACAATCCGTGTGACAATGTATTTGGTAAAATTTACACCATTGAAGCGAAATGAGTGACTTATTTGAGCAATTTGCAAGATAAAGTGACTAAATCGCACCAACCTCGCAAGTTATGATACCATCGGTGCATTTTACTCTTGTTTATAAATATGTGATGATGTTAAGTTTTGGGCATATGATTGAATTGTCTTATATATGTTTTTACAAAATAAAAATATAATTCATCCTGAAACTATCTTTAATGTAAAACGTGTTACACTAAGATAAATAATACTTACGTATATTTTTTCAATAAAGCGAATGGTCAACCCAACCATATATAAGAAATCAACAACCCCATGTATTTAAAAATAGAGGTAATATATATTTTTTCGTCATGGCCCGTAGCAGTAGAATCAATCTAAACATTCTTCTTTTATATATAATTCAATTGATCAAATTCATTTATACTATCATGTAATTGTCGATAGTAGAATTAAATGAGTATTATTGTTTGCACTGGTAGTATAGCTTATTTGTAGAGCACTGGCTTTAGTTGTTTCTACTGGTAATATACCAGTATATTATCCTATTATTATTTCACTTCTTTTTTTACTTTTAGTAAAGACTACAGTAATAGTACTTAGCTAGCAAGGGTTTGCAAATATACTTCGATTACTTGTTGTTTGAATTCCTCTAAATATATCAGTTCCAAACAGATATGTAAATAGCCTATTTCATGCGAAAAAGTTACAGGCAAATTATGAGCCTGTTCACTTTGATGCTCTTTTCAACCATACCATTTTTTAGTAAAGTTGTCAAAAAAATATATACGTTTAATTTGTTGCCAAATTTGATAAATACATAAGAAATCCTGCCAAAATTTTGGCAATATTGCCATCTTGCCAAAATTTTGGCAATGCCCTATAGTACTAAATAGCCTTAAGGCCCATAATTAAACTTGCCATTTCTTTTATGGGCCTCAATGTAGGCCCATGTGTCCATCTCAACAAGGCCTTTGTGGCCTCAAATCCTAGCCAGTCAAGTCCAGGGCAATCGGCCGGCTAAGGGCCAAGGCTCGCCAGCTCGCCGCCGCCGCCACAGCCGCCGCCGCCACCGCCACCGCCACCGCCCTAGGTCCTAGGGCAACTCGATGCGCTTGCCATGGTGCCGCCCGAGTAGCGGCCATTACCCTCCTCTCCACCGCCTCGCACGCGCGGAACCCCGATTTTGTCGCCGTTCGTGCGCCATGGCGCGGCCCCGGTGCCCGCTTCCACCGAGCGCGCCTACCGGTCGCCGGTAGGGTTGCACCTCCGCCTCCGAGGGACGCCGCCACGTTCAACGCTGTCGCGTGCCGCACCGCCTCTGCCTGCTCGTGCTCGGCCGCCCCCGCATCGCCGCCGCGCGCAGGCTGTTCGACGCAATGCGCGGCCCAGCGTCGTGTACTGCAACACGCTCGCCAAGGCATTACTAGCCTCCAAGGGCGCCTCGCCCGACACGCTCGACGTCCTACTATATCATCGATGGTGACATGCTGGCAGCACGAACTGCTTTGGTGAAAGGATTCTATCCAACCGGTCAAGTTGATCTTGCAATAAACATGACAGTTTGAAACTGTAGGTGTAACCTTTCGCTCAATACTAAAATCTACAATTGAAGCATCCGAGGCCGCGTCAGTCGAGGATACACGACAGAAGGAGTTGTTAGTTCACCTCACCTTTCCTAAGCGTGGGTTTCTCTTACTAATTTGGTTTTCTCTCCGCGAACCCCCGCTCTTTCTCGTAAAACCGGGGTGTAG